TTGCCCCCGTCTTTGCTTTACAAAAATAATAATCTTAGCAATTGCTCCAATCTAAGTTATTAAAAAGACTAAAATTTAACAATAATAATTAATATACTTAAAATCCATTTTTAGTCTTCCAATTTAACTGGAAGACAAAAGACAACCTCTATTAAGAAAATTGCTATGTTTTTTTATCTTTTTTAAAAGACAGACTTGACTTAAGCAAATTGCTAAGAAATTATTCTTCACAAAATAATAATTGGAAAGAAAACTTAAATATTTGCATGATGGGAAGACTTAAAAGTATATAGCAAAGAAAAGACTAAATACCAATAAAAAATCTCATATTATCATTTTCTTTGTGATTCCAAAATTAGAATATCAATTTTTTTATAAAGTATAATTTTGTGATGAGTGATTCTAAATACACCATCATATTTTTCTCTACATTTACTTTTTTTTTTAATTTTTTAAGTGATATTACTTATTTACCCATCTCGTTTTAATTTTAAAACTTTTGAATAAACATTTCTGATAAGTTATATATCTTACTGGATTTTCATATCTGATAAATTAAAAAAAGTTACATTTAGGTTTGAAAAAAATAGTTAAAAGAAAATATGTTACAAAAGTATGAGATGCTAATATCGTTTATAAAATTTAAAAACTTTATTAATCATTTGTGAAGAAATTGAAATATATATAACTTATCTCGTATACATGAAATTTGTGAAAGTAGAAGATTATCTTTTTTTTTTTTTTGTATGTGAGTTTGTTAGGATTTGAACTTTAAACTATTGAAACTAAAAGTTTAGTATTTTATTAACAGATTACATGGTTATTGGATTATTGAAATTTTAAATTAGAGGATCTCTTTAAAATATATTAATCATAAAAAATTGAAGAAAGAAAAAATGCGCACACCATGAAATCTAACAGTCCATTAGGAACAAAATCATGAGAAAAAATTATATAATCAACAAATTGATTGGCCAAAACAAATCAACATATTAAAAATCTTTGTTTTATTTTTCTAAAAAGTTTGAAAAAAAAAATCTAAAGAACACATTCATTCTCTCACTTCTTAAACTTGTTTATTTTGGAAATTGTGATTTTATAATGGTGGAATAAGAAAGAAAATGATAGATACTATGGTAATGTATTGGTTTAAGTCTTAGTCTTTGCTTTATACTTAGTCTTGGCATCAAGCATGCAAATGTGTCAATCTTTTTGCCCCATCTTTACTTCACAAAAATAACAATATTAGCAGTTGTTGTAGTCTAAGTTATTAAAAAGATCAAAATATAACAATAATAATTAATATACTTAAAATTTATTTCTAGTCCATCAATTTAACTAAAAGACAAGAAAACAACTTCAATTGAGAAAATTGTTGTTTGTTTTGTCTTTTTTAAATGACAGACTTGACTTAAGTAAACTGCTAAGAATATTATTTTTCATAGAGTAATGTTGGGGGCAAAAAGATTTAGACATTTGCTTGATGAGAAGACTTAAAATATAAAGCAAAGAGAAGTCTAAATACCAATAAAAAAATCTCATACTATCATTTTCTTTGTAAGTCCAAAATAAAAATAAAAAAAAACAAATTTTTTATAAAGTATAATTTTATGATGGATGATTCTAGATACACCATTTTTTTCCCTACATCCGGATATGAAAATTTAGTAATTTATATAACTTATCAAAAATATATATCTAGAAACTTTAAAATTAACAAGTGGATCTCTATAAAGTATAATTTCCATTGATTCAAGGACTTTGAAAAAAAAAAAAGAAGACAATTTTCAAATCCTAAAGTTTTTCTTTCATCCTATTATTTTCAAATAAATGGAAATTTAGATCCTAATATTTTCAAATAATTGAAAATTTATGTATCTATTGAATACTACGATCAATGTCTTGACACTTTTGTTGTACTTTCTCAAATCTTATAGATAAGATTCCACCAAGTGAATAATTGCTAATTATTTAAGATGATTAATTATTACATTCTTGAGATTCAACTAAAAAATATAATTTAGATTTCATTTGGTTTGTATTTTTTTTCTTTTACTATTTGTTTTTGGTTTTCAATTCATTTATTAAAAAATAAAAACCAAAAGCATCAATTAATTAGAAGATTAAAAAGTGAGAAAATTATGTAATCTCTTTGGTTAATTTCTTTTTTTTTCAATTAAAAAATTTATTCAGTTTAAAACAATATAAAGTATGAGTGTATTTGATATTATGGATAAAATTTCTAATGTTCTTTTTATTTTGTTTATTTTCGTTGGGGTGTCAATTTTCAATTTATTATGAGTGTATTTAATATTAAAAAATTAAATTTATTATATAAAATTTATATTTTGAGGTTTTAAATATAAAAATGTAATTAAAAAATCAAAATGATTTTGGAATATAATCGTATGGAAAAATAATAGCATTTTGTGTTCAAAAAAGCAAAGATGGTAATTTTAAAATATTCGAATAGGGAATGATAGATAAAAAAAAACGAGATAGGGAGAATATAATTAATTACTAATTAGAAAAATGAATTGAAAATAAGGAACAAATAACAAAAAATAAAAAACTTAGACGTGATGATTGAAGACATTTGGAAAATATATAGTCTAATTAGATATTAAAGTTGAACACTTATTATTTAATTTTGAATAAATTTAAATTAAATTTCCTTTGAACAATTAAATGAAAAGAAAAGTTAGTATTAATTTCTTGTGTAAGCGTGGACAATGGAATTTGAACAAAAATTAACCAATCATGTAACTTTTTTGACTTTAACCGACAAAGAAAAACTATGCACGATGAAATTGAAGACTAATTCATATATAGAAAATCCCATTAATTTTTGTTCTATTGGAAACACAATCATTTGTCCACTTTTATATTTGTAATGTTCACGTTTGTAACTTTCACATTATTCATTAATATTAAGGTTCATTATCATTAAAAAATAATATTGGTTAATATTTTTTATTTGAAAGCTTTTGTAAATATAAAAATGATGAATCTATATATATTCTAAGTTCTCACTATTCAAATCAATATTCTTTAACAATATTAAAAACAAAAATAATAAAAAGGACTATATATATATATGATAAATTCAATATTAAATTATTAATATGCTGTTTTGAATTTTCAGAGATTAATAAAATGATTTTGCAAACAATGCTCTAAAAGCACACTCTAAGGTTATTACATAATATAATATCTTCATCCAATACATTAAAAATTATAAATATGAAAATTATTAGGTATCAAGTATTGCATTTAACATAAAATTATTACAATAAATAATATATTAACTAATTTTAGAGAGTGAAAAACTCTTTTGCGAATTTGTTTTATCATGTTTATGAATGGAGAAGTAAGAATAACAACAGAGTGAATACATATTATTTAGATATTTGTATTTAAATCTATTTAATTTTCATGGTATGTGAATTCATTTAAATATTCAATTAAATTTACTATCATTATCTTTATATAAACCATTTAAATAAATATCGCCTGTTTCATTTTTTAATCCTTTAAAATATCCAATTACTTAAGTTAAAATTTTTGCTAAAATATAAATTCAACAAGAATTAAATTTAAATATAAAATTCACTATTAATTAATAATAAGTAAATGTTGTTTGCTAAGATTCGAAAATAAAATTTTATATATGTAAATAAATAATAGATTCAAATAATAGATACTATATGCTTTAAAACTTGAACGGATTCAGATATTCAAATGGTATTATCTAAATTCTATCCGAATCTATTAAATATATATTTATAAATATTTGAATTAGACATAAATAGGTCAGATAATATATCAAATATTCAATTATTTTCTATCCATCATCATTCCTAAACGGAATATCAAGGGAGACGCAATCAATCAAATCTAATTGAATGGATGGGAATGTGAAGCATTGTCCAAAGCTAAGCTCCTATCTCCCATTATTTCAACCGACTTGACATCTATATACCAGCAAAACTCAGTTTCAGCATTTTCACTTTGTTAGCTGGATGTTTCTTTCATGCTTTCATCTTTGCCTTCGTTTATAGATTTTCAGGTTAAGTGGGCAGTATTTTTACAACATGTGATGCCATTTTACAACAGGTTTTGCAACAAAAGTAAAAAAAATGCACCAAACGGTATCCATATGACTAAACGATATCCTATTTTCTTAATTATTAATCTAATGTGCTATGATGACTAAACTCTATTACAGACCAATGAATAACGCATAGTATTATAAAGAAATAATTGTTACAGTAATTATTCTTTTCTCTGAATGCTTATTTAGAAAACAAAAATTGATAAATATGAGGAAGTTGATGGAGGGAACAAAAGGAGATTCAAACTTTGAATCGAAGAAAAATAAGAAGAAACAAACTTATTAGTTAAAATTTAAAAAAAAAAATTTATTCCATCTAATTCTATAATATCAGAGTTGAGTTAACTGATAAATCTTTACAAGTTTTACTTCTCTTTAGACATCAAAGTTAGTGATAATTTTTATTATTATTTTTTTTTTTGTACTAGAGAGGATTCCTCCCTACCGATATATACATACCACTATTACCTAACTTTGAGAAAATTAATTTTTTATTTGTTTTTTTGTAGGAATACATAATATGAAATAAAAAGTAGGAATAAAGAAAGAATATAGTGATAAAAGATTAATTTACAAAAGCAAAACTATTAGCCTTAGCATCATTGAAACCCATTATTCATTCTTTAAAATTCAAAATGGACAAGCAATAACCATATTTGTCTTCCACCTATTTTGATTCAACTCTTACAGAAAAAAGTTCAAACTCATGATTTGTACAAACACGTGGTTGGAAAAACACATTTGAACCTATCTCTTGAGATCAAGGGAGATATATAGCTACAATAACAATCGTAATATGAAGTACTTGTCTATAAATATCGTGTATGCAAATCTTAAATTCCACAATCTTCCCTTCAATTTTTTTCCTATAGAGAGCCAACAAAACATGAAGAATTTTCATATCCTAATATCACTCATTTTTCCTACCTTGTTTCTCTTCTCATGCTCTGTATCTCTTGTGCTATCTTTTTCCCCTCCTCATACTGATCTCCAAAATCAGTGCCTTAATGATCAGAAATCTGCTCTATTGCAATTGCACCATGATCTGTACTATGCCCCAAATTTTACGTTCTCTTTCAAAATTGAGCTTTGGGATCCCAACACTGATTGTTGCTCTTGGAAAGGAATTACATGTGATGCTGTGGGTCATGTGATTGGGCTTGATCTCAGTTACAAAAACCTTTCCGGCAGCTTTCACTCCATTTTCAATCTCCATCATCTTCAACGCCTTAATCTTGCTGGAAACAATTTTAATACTACTCTGTTTCAATATGAGTTTGATAGATTTCCAAATTTAACTCATCTTAACCTTTCAAACTCATGTTTTCATGGCCAAATTCCAGTGGGGATTTCATACTTAACAAGGTTAGTCTCTCTTGATCTATCTAATCAAGATTCTTGCTATCTACACAATTACCAAATTCTTGATTCAAATTTCTGGTATGATGATTTTCCTTACAACCTTTATCAACCTTTAAAACTAGAAAACCCAAACTTCAAGTCATTCATCCACAATTTGAGACCTCTTACAGAGCTCTACCTGGATAGTGTGAACATTTCAACTCAAAGTACTAAATGGTGTGAAGCCACATCCATAGCACTTCATAACCTACATGTGCTAAGTCTGTCGAATTGTGGTTTGACAGGTCCATTTTGTTCTTCACTCTCAAGACTTCCTTTTCTTTCCAAACTTTTCCTTGGTGGGAATTCGATCTCTTATTTGCCTCCTAATTTCTTGGAAATTTCCTCTCGTTTGGTTTCTCTCAGTTTAGTGAATTGCAATTTGAGTGGGCATTTTCCAACAAAAATTCTCATGTTCCCAAAAATAGAAAGCATTGACATCTCAGAAAATGACAATCTTGGAGGTCAGTTGCCAGAATTTCCATTAAACAATGCTTTACGGATCTTAACGATGTCTTATACAAATTTCAGTGGAAAATTACCAGAATCAATTGGTAATCTCAAATTCTTGACAAATTTAAATCTCCATGTTTGCAAGTTCTTTGGACAAATTCCATCATCAATTGCAAATCTTACTAACCTTGTGGAACTGGATCTATCCCATAACAATTTAAGTGGTTTTATCCCTGCATTTCATAGATTTGGAGTTCCAAATCTTGCATATCTTTGTTTGTGGAGGAACCACCTCTCTGGATCAATAAATTCTTCTGTATTTACTCTCCCATCATTGCAGGCCTTGGATTTTAGTGAAAATCAATTGTTTGGTGAAATTGATGAGGTTCTCAATGCATCTTCCTCCTTGATTGAAGCATTGTATTTAGGCTACAATAGCTTTAGTTCCATGAAGCTTGACATGTTCTCCCAACTCAAGAACTTAAGGTTTCTTGACCTTTCAAATACGAGCTTGTCAATTGAAAGCAACATCACAAGCCTTGCTTTTCCCCAATTAGAGGAGCTGGACCTAAATTCATGTAACCTTACTGAATTTCCAGATTTCATCAAAACTCAAGACAAGTTGGCTTTTCTAGGTCTTTCTAACAACCAAATCCATGGTTTTGTGCCTAATTGGTTACGGAAGACCACTCTTTTAGGGTTAGACCTTTCTTTCAATGCAATTGATTTTTCAAAAGAGGTTCCTTTTGGTGACGCAAACTCCTCTTTTCCAATGTTGAGTGTCTTATATTTACAATTCTGTAACCTAAGTATGTTTCCAGAGTTTTTAAAGAGTCAAACTAGTTTAGAACATCTAGACCTTTCAAATAATAAAATAAGTGGTGCAGTACCAAATTGGGTGTGGAAGAAAAGTTTGAGGAATCTGGATCTTTCTAACAATTCTCTCTCATTTTTGGACCAATTTTCACTAAACCAATCTCTAACTTCTTCACAAGGCTCTTTATCAAGACCTATTTGCAATTTGAGTCAGCTTGGGACCCTTAATGTATCCTTTAACAAATTAACCGGGCCAATCCCAAGTTGCTTGGGCAACATCAGTTCTCTCGACACTTTGGATCTACAAAAAAATAATTTCAATGGCAGCATACCAGATTTTGCAAAAGCGACCCAATTATATTGGCTTCAACTCAATGATAATAAATTGGAAGGGAAGTTGCCAAGGTCATTAGCCAATTGCACAATCCTCCAAGTTTTAAACCTTTACTCTACATGACACATTCCCTTTGTGGTTGGGAAAATTGCCGGCGTTGATGGTCCTTGTATTGCGAGCAAATAGGTTTTATGGTCCAATTAAACATGTGAAAAATTGTTTTCAAGACTTGGATGTACTTGACATTGCTTTCAATAATTTTTCTGGTCAATTACCAATTGAATTCTTTCAAGCCCCTCAACTAAGGTCACTCAAAATTGGCGGGAATAAACTGAAAGGAAAGTTGCCGAGGTCATTAGCCCATTGCAAAAAGCTTGAAGTTTTGGACGTTGGAAAAAATATGATACAAGACACATTTCCTTTTTGGTTGGTGAAATTGCCTTCTTTAAAGGTTCTTGTACTAAGAGCAAATAGATTTTATGGTCCGATTAAAATTTCTGAGGATGAAAATGCTTTCCTAGAGTTACACATACTGGACCTCGCTTCCAATAACTTTTCAGGTGAGTTACCTGTTGGATTTTTTCAATCTTTGAAGGCAATGAAGATGATGATTGATGGCAAAAAAGGTAAGCCAGATTATATTGGAGATGATTACTACCAGGACTCTGTGACAATTGTGAATAAAGGGTTTGAACTTTTTTACCAGAAAATTTTAACCATCTTTGCTTGTCTTGACTTTTCCAATAATAGTTTCCATGGGAAAATACCAGAAGAAATACAAAACCTCAAGTCACTCAAAGTGCTAAACTTGTCCTACAACAGCTTCCTTGGCCCAATTCCTTTAGCACTTGGAAACTTAACTCAACTTGAGTCTTTGGACCTCTCCCAGAACAAACTCTCCGGGAAGATTCCTCTACAGCTTACAAGCCTAACATTTCTTGCAGTATTGAATCTCTCTTACAACCAACTTGAGGGAACCATACCACAAAGCTACCAATTTGGTACATTTTCAAACGATTCTTTCAAAGGGAACCCAAGATTGTGTGGGCCTCCTTTGACAAAGAAATGCAATGAAGTTGGTCTCGGAATGCCACCCCCTAAGGAAGATCAAGATTCATGGGTAGATGGTATATCTGTTTGGAAAATCATATTGATTGGTTATGGATGTGGTTTGGTGATTGGGTTGTCTATTGGATATACAGTGCTGAATGAGATGGGAAACAAATGGATGGATAGGTTTACATGGAATCGGAATAAAAAATGGAGAAGATCTTCTAGGTGACTCCATCAAAATTCAAGTTTCAAATTCATTTGGTAAGCATTTTAGAATACTTAATAACTCAAAAGTTTTCTTGTTGATTGTTTCAGCTGTAGTTAATTGCCTAAACAAATAAAATTATTTAAATACTCTCTTACATTATAAGTGTGCTATATATATATATATATATATATATATATATATATATGCACTAATTGATATTTGACTAAAGTAATTACATTTGAAATTTAATTCAAGAAGGTTTCAACTTTGGACGTCTCATTCCCTTTTTAAACTTGGCATTGCTTTTAAAACTAAAAGCAAAAATTGCCTGCAAACTAGGATATGTCCTTTGAATTCCTAACCTCATTTTATAAATGACAATAATGAGTTTCCAAGTTAACAATTTGTAAAAGACATGTGGGTGACTGGTATTTTGAGTTAGATTGGGCTGTCAGCCATCTTAAGAGCAAAGCAAAGCTTTGGCGTCTATTGTCCTTAATTAGATTGGCGTGGGATGCTCATATATATTTTATTTGGCAGGAGCACAATCAAGGGAAGTTTGGCAGGCCATCTAAAGATATAGAAGCTATTGTTTCAACTATCAGAAGTTCCTTTTGGCTTAGTTCAATAACAAGATTGCATTCTCCAGTTCCACGCTTCCTCTTCAACAACAGAAATTGTGTCTGAGTGTTTTTGGCTTGGTGTTACGGTACTTGTGTCTCGGTTCTTTCTCTTCTGCTCACCAAAGATGATTGGCAGTATGTCCGGTTGTATTGTGCTTGTCTTCTGTTCTGTCTATGGGGTGGTGTTTTACTGCTGAGTTATGGGGTTCCCCTGTTGTTCACCCTATTGTGTAACTCTGTTTTTATTAATAATTTCTGGCTTAGCAAAAGAAAAATGTGTCTGAATTGGGGACTGGTTCCTTAATGTTGCTTCGTTTGATTACTTTGCAAAAGTTAGATTGTTCTTGGACATTTGTAGCGTATTGATAGCTTACTGTTTACTTGTAGCAGGTCTACTGCTTTCTTTGGGTTAATAAAAATCATTTATCCAAAGAAATTCTTAACAAAAGTCCTATTATCTTTTAAACTCTTCATTATGGTTATACCTAAGTGATCATGCCGGCAGCCACATAATAGGTCTTACACATGAAAGCTCAGTTTGCCACGTCGTCATTAAGAGGTATAAAAAGTAGAACCAGACCAGACAGGCGATTCACTACTGAATTCTCTTTGCTCTCTTTAACTGCTCCTTACTCTCTCTCATTTACTTGCTTCTAATATACCTTACTAACTTAACTTGCATCGGAGAATGCCTCAAAATAACATTTTTGGCACACTGACTTTCTACTCTATGACAGGTCACACAAACTCTCCTTCTCAACCTCCAGTAAAACTTTCAACTATCAGACCAGGAATTACATCAACAATATCATTAATTCACTCAACTATTTGCAGTGCAGGAATTTGATATAAGCCATGGCATGTACAACAATGACTACGCTACCATTTCAACTGCCAAAACTAGATGTTACATCTCCTAACACAGAAAAATCTTCACAGACCAAGCTCAAGCTAAGATGCTTTATTCCTGTATTAACTGCTACATCACTACAGAGAAAAAAACAACGAAAAGAAAAGAACAAAGCTTCCAGTTCCAGGTATCAAGCTCGACAATTCCAGACTAACTTCGATAGTATTTTATTGTCCCTAACAACTATAGATTTGACAATAGCGAGAAACATTGAAATATTTCCTTTATTATTTTCTTCAACTTTAATCCCATATCATCCTTTGTTTCTTTGCTTCAGCACTCCTACAGACAAAAACAAATGGTTTGTTGTAAGCTCTATTGCTATATGATTGATTTGCATGTAGAATAGACCCTGACTAAACAAAAACAATGAGGGCAATACATTCAGTAACTTATATATACTCACTTCTCTATTCCATTGAATCCTTTCAGTAACTTATTCTCTATCTAATAGAAAAAAAACATCATAACTAAATAGCCAATATTGACATTGATGTGCTAAGTGTTCTGATATAGCCACTAATCCATAATTAAAAGATGAAGACACGCTATGTTTCAATCACTCGTCATTTTATAGGTAGTTTTTTCTCTAGTAGTCAGCTTGATGCTGTAAACCAGGAAGGATGTCAAGCCTTCTGATATTTAGCCTATTTTGAGTATTAGCTCAGAATTTATGTTTAGAAGATTGCTGCAAGTAAAAAGATATTTGATGACTTAGAGGTTGCCAAAAGCCACATTGGACAGAGTGATTATGCGTATATGAAGACTTTACCGCTAGAGGCTTTCTCCTACAACTGTCCTCATGCAGCCCTAAGTTCTTGCTCATTTGAATCCTTCTCTAACTAGAAATGTAAGTATCAACTAGAAAAATACTTTGTTCTTATGAATTCGGTCATTTGAAAATTTTACAGGGAAAAAAGGAAACAAAAAAGATAACTATTTCTTGAGTTTAAGTTTAGGTTTGCTAGCTAATTTCACTCTTTTTTTTTTTTGAATCCAGGAACTGTATTTTTCAAGGAAGAAAACCAATCATTAATGTTTTCCATGCTTTGGACTTGGACAGCACAAAAAATCACAGCTTCCATTAGCCATCCCTACCCTATTGAAACTACCTGCAATCCAACATTCTTAAACTCTTTGAAGTAACATCCTAGATCCTACCCGTATGTGTCATCGGGACCTGGATTCTGATCTGATCATGATGAAGGTTGTGAAGTTGGATGCTGATTGTTGAAAAATTAATATTGGATTGCACCGCTATCTCTAGGTAGAAGAAATTCTACTTCATGGGTAAAAGGCAGCAATAGGGTTTGTTGGCATCCTAGGAATGCCAATTTTGTATATACATTACAAGTTCTACAATTGTCTACTCATTCAGTTGTTTTCGACAACTCTTGGAACTTCATGTAAAAACCTAATTCTTACTCTGATTAATACAATCACTCATCTCATAAGTCAGTTGTGGAATGACGCAGAAAAAATGCTTACCTAAATACTAATGCACATGCCTGCAGCAACAATGATTTTAAAGAGCTCGACATTCCAAAATTCCCCCAAGCTCAAGCAGGGAAACGGTTTCATTTAATAAGGTATTCAGACAAGTGAATCCTCCACTACAACACTAAACTAAGAAATAAAAGTGCTCATGGCAACAGGAATTGAAGGAAAGCATCAATGTATACGTATCTCATAAGCAGTATTGAAAATGCCAAGGGTGGGTTAGTTGCATACAAAGCATTCCTTATTCTTTGCATGATGCCGAACAACTAAAAGATGCAGTTGGTTATTTTACATTGGAATGAGAATAAAAATGTAAACTATACAGACATGAGGCACCAAAAGTTGACGATGTAAAGTTAAAATATGTCCTCTTTCTATAGCTGAAAAACAGTTGGTCCACATACAATTTTCTTTGTATGCAAGTAACCAAAAAAGTTTTGCACCTAAGCAATGCATTAACAACAAATGTAACAAAATCTAATAGATATTAACCTAGCACAAAAAGGACATTAAAAAAATTAATCTACATGAAAAGGCATATGTGGGTACCTTTAAAGCACAATGCTCGCAGAAGTAGTGCTTGCACTTAGTCACAACAGGATCCACAAAAGGCTGCAGGCAAATAAAACATGCAAAGGGCAACGAATCATCATTGTCATCATCACTCTGGTCTACCCCTGCCTCATCATCATCATCGACACCCAAAGCCAGATTTCTCTTCCTTGCTTTTTCTGCTTCTTCCCAGTCCTTCTCTAACTGCCATCCAGACTTGTAATCTCCACGATCATGCATAAACTTACATGAATCTCTGTAACCACAGTAACCAGTTTCTTTGTAGTCTTTACAGATTTAAGGCTGATAATCAAATCTTGCTGAAACCCTGATGTAGGCAGAAGCCCTAAGAGGTCCATGTGACCCACCAGCTTTCTCACTGGCAACTGTTTGCTCTCTTCGAAACCCAGCCTTATGATCCACATAGCCATGCATTCCTTTATACAACTTCTCTCCCCCAGAGCTAGTGTTTTTCCCCTTCAAAGCCTCCTTTGCTCATTTAAGAACTTTTTCACGTAGCATGAGCATCTTTTGTAAACTCAGTCTCAGTTTCTAAGGTTGCTGTAGCTCTGCTATCATTTTGAACTTGAATTTCTGACTCAAATTGAAAAATCAGTTTGTCAGATTCTGTATTTGATTCAGTGGGAGCAGCACTCCTGGAGGATCCAGTTGAAAAGCATAACATAATGTCAGGCTTCAAAGCCTTTTTCTGATTGTGCAACAGAGATGTCCCATTTCCGGAGTCTTCATCTTTAACTTCATCTTCATTTATTGTCCTTTTCCTCATGTTTTTGCCCTTTGTTGGCTTCCTAAAGAAATTGCAGACTGAAAAATCAAAGAGTTAGCTATACAAGTAAATATACGTATACACCTTTAAAAAGAATAAAAAAGGGAACAAATTTTACCTTGTTCAGATTGTTGAGGTTCTGTTTCAAATTGCTGAGGTTCTTTTCCTGGATACTGCGGCTCGCTTGAATCTGTCATCTTAACAGAAACAAAAGCAAAGGTTTTATAGGTTACTTGCCTCAAACAAGATGAACTTCCAATCGTTTACGACTGCTGCTTCAATCACTTGAAAGAAGGTTTTAAACTAAGTGAGACAAAATCCTTATTACTATTAATTAAGGTAAAGAATGATACAGGATTAACACACTAACTAGTGTCACAACTAAATTTCCATAGATAACATCAAGCTTTCTCTCATGAAAGGCTAAATGCTCTATTTTTTACCCAAATCATAAATTTCTATTGATGTAAGAAAGTGAAGGAATTAAATTTTTTATACTATCAAATTACCGAACAAGAAGAGATCATCCTTTGTCAAATACCTGAGTTCACCATTCCAACACTTAGAAATCAAATGTGATCGAAATAGTCATAGATTCCATTCTTCAGAATCCCAAGAGGGTGGTTTATTCCTTCTGTGGAGCTGCATTCCCAGTTTTGAAAAAATTGTGGTCTGGAACATTGTTTGTTGATCGTCCCTCACCACATCTACAAATCCCGCCATCCAAACAATACTAAGTCATTCATAAATTATGAAAGCACAGAAAGTGATGAATCAAATTTCACCAATAACAAAATATCAAAGCATATACCATGCCAATTTTCAAACCAAAAAACCTCAACAACAGATTTCAATTGCTGACACTTTCAATCAATTCATCATACTCGAAGAAAGGTGTAATCTACCTAGACTATATACATCTTCCATTCCAAAACATACCAAATCAAAACACCATAAATTGAACTTTCTTATCAAATACAACTTGAACACACACAAAGGGCAAATTTAAAAAAGAAGCAACACATAAATGCAATTAACCTTTGCCAGCCCAGATTTAAACACGAGATAAAATACCCATTACTCTTAACAATTTACTAGTCATAGTAAAAATGCTATATCTGCAAATACTGAAATGGCGCAGTTCATGGAAAAGTCAATAAAATCATATAACAGCAAAGCCCAAGTTCATAAAAGTAGGAATTTGTTACCATCTTTAGCAATTCTGATTCCACCATGCTCTAGCACTGAGGAAGCCACTGGTTGTCTCCACTTTTTCATAGTAGACAGAGAAGCAGCAACAGAAGAAGAAGAGAAGGGTAAGAAAAAAGTGAAGCGTTTGAAACCATTTATGTGGTGAAAAAGGGTGGCAGTTGAATGAGCAGTTGAAACTACTGCCATAAAGCCTCGGTTTTCCGTTTCAGAATGCTGGATTCTGTGAAGAGAAGAAACAAGGATTAGTCAGTTTGGGCCTGATTCGTTTCATAGGCACGAAAAAATTAAAAATACGCTAATTATGTAAAATAAAAAAAAAACTTTGCTCATGGGATGCGCGTTCGACCCTAGCAACCTAACTATTAGTTAATTTCAAATTTTTATTAAAATATATAACATATTTTTGTTAGAGCAAAGCTCCTGGCAGCAAGGCTGAGGAAACAAAGTAAATAAACCGAAAGCGTATGCAAAGAATTGAGAAATAAAAAATCGGTTAAAAATTATAATAAATTTTTTTATTTGATTCAGATCGAATATTAAATATTTTTATTCAATTTAAATGATTTTTGATTCATTAAATTAAAAAAATTTCAATCGAACTAAATTATATTTTTATTAATTTTTATATAAAATTTATTATTTTATAAAATAAAAATAATTTTTATTTTAAAATAAAGAGAAATCAAATTACATCAAAAAAATTATATTTTTTAATCATTAATTTCAATTGATACAAAAGATGAAATAAATAAATAAATAATTTAATCTCATTTTTTAAATCAATTAAAATTAATAATAAAAAATATATATAAAATTAAAAAATTTTATAGTGA